TTTCATATGGAGTACTAATAATCAACTCATAATCTCGAGCTAAAGAGTAAGCGTGATCAAGAGTAGTGACACCTCAAAGGAAAAGCTTGCGCTTAAGATCATCTCTCAGACCTTGGCTAAACCTACTCAAAGTCGTGCTCTCATCCTCAATTAAATGACATTTGATTCGAAATTCCTCAAATTGCGCGATATACTCAGTCATTAATTGATTTCCTTATTTAAGGGCATTCCATTGAGTAAGAATTTCAAAATTATCTCGTTCTCGCTCACGAATCTGATCCCTATTCCTATCACTATCCTTACGATCGGGTCGAAAGTATTTTTGATTACCTTGTTGACGATGTTGTCTATTATGGGACACCTTAAAATTATTAACATCAATCGAATGAGGGATGTGTTTAAAATTTTTCGAACTAACAGATAGGGCCTTACTCTTTTCAAGAGTAGCGGTCATTTGAGTTTGAATAGTCGCTATTTGTCGGGTGAGTGCATCAAATTGTGAGGGGTTCATGTTTAAGGTACTAGAGCTAGAAGTGACAAGATGACCAATATGTAACTACATGCAAAGCAATACTACCTAAATGAAATGCAATAGAGAGACCAATATGTATCAAGGACCAACGATTAAAACATCAATTTGAAATTCTCTCTCTCTCTTTTCTTTCCTTTCAAAAATGCAAGTTAATAGTGCTGATGCTTGTAAATAATAAAGCAACGGTCCAATGCTTGTTAAGATCAAATGATATTGTCAAGATTTTCAATCAGGTAGATAAAAGAGGTAACAATGACACATCAATTCAGTGAGATAAATGGGGCAACAATGGCAAGTCAATTCAATGAGTGATTCCAGTCAAGTGAAGTTTGAGGCCAAAGTTGTGATAGTAACAGCAATACAAAGAATCTAAGTGATGCACTTTTAAAATAAAACAGCAGTATAAACCAATGAGAATTAGGAGATAGCAACTCCCCGTAGTCTAGTTGCCTGAATTGCTAACGATTGGGCCTCTAATCTGCCTGTGTCAAATGTCTCCAGCTCCTGAACTCACGGTCATTGCATATTCTAAATTGTTGGCTTCACTGAAATTGGACAGATGCTAAAATAGAAACCTCTGTGTAACTGAATGGGTTGCTTGGTAGTAGAGACAGTAAACTGCTTGATCAATGAAGTCGGTGGAAGACAGAAACGCCGGGGATAGAGGCGTCTGAGTGGGTGGGTGTCGGTAGTAGAAATCTGTAGAATGTGTTGAAGAAGGCGGCAAATTGGATTATGTATATGTTTGACTGTGCCGATTTGAAGTGGATGCCGGTAAATGAGAGAACAGGATTATGGTTGCCAACGACCTGTGGGATATCGGGGAAGAATCTTTTGTGGTCGGCAGGGATTTAAAATTTGGGTAGTAGCGATGGAAGACAGCGATAATAGAGGGATTGACGGCTAGTGTGCGTAGCGTTGGTGATAGAGCTATAGACAAGTCAAGAGGTTGCAGATGGTGATGACAGTGGTGGACTGGACAGTGGCGGTGGCACGATTTGAAGCTAAATGTGTTGAAGAAGATGAAAGAATTGGGCTGGTTTGTGACTTGTATGGGTAATAGCTAATGTGGGCTGGGTTAATGTTGTATGGGCTATTGGGTTGCTGTAATTGGGCCGGAGGTGACAGGTTGGGTTGGTGTTGTATATATGGATTATGATTTGCTGTTGTGATGGTTAAGATTTGAGTTTTTGGGCTGCAAGGAATTGGGCTAATATGAGGGCTTCGTGGAAGATAGACACTAATTTTATGGGCCTGCAATTACTGGGTTTGGGCTGTTTGTGACATGGGGATGGGTATTGGGTTTGGAGATTTGTGAATAATTGGATTGGAACTAATTGGGTTTGGTTTGGACTTGGAATTCTAGGGTTTGTTGGGCAGCACACTTGCTTGGGCAGCAAAATAAGAAGAACGAGACTTTTTTTTTTCAAGAATTGATGAAAATAATAATAATAATAATAATAAATTTCTCCCAGGTATGAACAGTACCCGTGAACAGTAGCTGCCTCTACTTTTTTTTTTTTTTTTCAACCAAGAAGGAAAATTGAAAGAAAAGAAAACTGCTGCCTCAAACAAACTATTTCGTCTGTGTTTCTGTACAAGGGTTTTGGGAAGAGAATGTGAAGAAAAGTTTTGGATTGTAAATGAGTGAAAAAATATCTGAAAGACAATTGAAATATTCTCAAGTTTTGGCTCTGATACCAATTTGATGCAGGATGAAAATGAATTCCTGCAAAGTAGTTAGAACAAGCAGAATATAGCATAACTAGAAGAAGAAGAAGAAAAAGAAGGCGGAAGCAGTAAGAAAAGGGGAGGAACCGGAGAGAAACAAGGGGGAACGAGAGGAGACCAGGGGACAGAAAGGGAGAAGCAAGGGGGGAAACGGCCGGCTGCAAGCCAAAACCAACTTTCAATTCTAATTCATTATCAACTGTCTTAAATGAGAAACAAAACAGAAATAAATAGCAGAACACAAACCCTAAAGAGAGGGCTTGGGCCAAACCCACTAAACAAACTCAATAACGAAAACATAAACAATAGTCCAAATAAAATATAACTAATAGTCCAAATAGAAAATAAATAATAAATGGATATCCGCATCACTAGTATACTAAGATTTATATTGCAATTGCAAATTAAATTAACCTTATTGATATTCAAGCCCGACAAATTTCACATCGTTTCCTTAAGAAAAATTTGCTCCCTCTAGTACTCAAAATTTCAAGCAACTTGATTCCAAGATAGAACGGATGTCTGGTCCCTATGGAAGCAGCACCTCTTTTACAAAGGAACCGATCTGTCTTTATTACCCAACTTTGAAGCCAAAATATTTGCAGAATAAAGCAAAAATATTTCGAGAATACATTGATCTGTAATATCATGTAAAAGTGTACTACACTGCACAAAACCATTTCAAGCCTTATATTCTGACTTGACAAACTTATTTGATAATTTCAATCGCAAGCCTCTGTTTGCTAAGGCCCACACGCAGAAGGTTCTTTATTATTATAAGTACTTAAAAATTTCGATTGCACTTGAAGTGTATAACTTAAGTACTACATTTAAATGAATGTTATTCTTAGAACTAGAAGGAACAAAATTTTAGGTAAAATGAATCACACTTTTGATAGATAAAAAATCTATGTTTTACTTGTGTGTGAAGTAAAACATATGTCAATTCATTGTTTATAGCACAAGGATGTAAATGATTTTTTCATAGATAAAAATAATATAAAATTTTCCTTCGTATCTAAACATTTCTGATTGAAAGAGGTCAATCGTATGTATATACATAAACATTTTTCGTACGCAAATAAGTATTCATATGATGGTATATCTGTCCCAATAACATTGTATTCGATCCTGCATTCGTTTTCCATTAACAAAGTTGATTTTTAACGGATTTTTGAAAGGCAACATGGAAAAAGTTCCAGATAGATTCGATATGGTCAAACGGCTTCCACATCAAATGCAAGCTCACTTCATTTAAACATGGAAGAAGGGCCTTTTTTTTTTTTTTGGGAGAGAGAGAGGTTATCCAATTTCTACTCACAATGTTTCTGGCTGACAGTTGGGACATTTTATGGCATGCTTCGCAACTTTTTTTGGGGGAGTCTTGATTGCCTTCATATCTAGCTGGGAAGTGTCACTTCTAGCACTATTCGTTGTCCCAATGATTCTTCTAATTGGAGCCACTTATACAAAGAAAATGAATGCTATTTCAGCAACAAGGATGTCATACCTGTCAGAGGCCACAGCAATGGTAGAACAGGTAAAGATTTTAGTACCATTATTTGTAACTTATCGTCCTGTTAATATGTAAGCAGATTTTTCCACAGAAATTGAAAGTCAGTTTACTTAACAATTCTCTCGTTTGCTATGTGACAGACATTTTCCCATATCAAAACTGTTTTTGCATTTGTTGGAGAAAATTTAGCAATCAAATCCTTCATGGAAAGTATAGAAAGACAACTGGGTATAAGCAAGAGTGAAGCGCTTATAAAGGGAATAGGGACAGGAATGTTTCAAGCTGTGACCTTCTGTTCATGGTCTCTTATTGTATGGGTTGGAGCTGTTGTTGTATCAACCAAGAGATCAAAGGGAGGAGACGTCATTGCAGCAGTTATGAGCATTCTCTTTGGAGCTATGTAAGAAGCGAAGTCCACTGGTCCACAAATATTTTGCTCACTTTGTCAAGCATTACACGTGTTTTCCATTTTTGTGTTCCAGATCGCTCACTTATGCTGCACCAGACATGCAAATCTTCAATCAAGCAAAAGCTGCGGGAAAGGAAGTTTTTCAAGTGATCAAAAGAAAGCCCATGATATATTCCAAGTCTCAAGGGAAGACGGTGGACCAAATCAATGGAAGCATTGATATACATGATGTGCACTTCTCTTACCCTTCTCGAAAGGAAATTATGATCCTTCAAGGGTTTTCACTGTCAATCCCAGCAGGAAAGGTGGTAGCGTTTGTAGGAAGCAGTGGCTGTGGCAAGAGCACCATCATCTCACTGATAACAAGATTTTATGATCCCATAAAAGGTACTCCTAAGCTATCTACGAAGAAATCTACTTGAAAAATCCATTTATTTAAAATTTACATGGGACACACAGAGATAAGCAGCACTTTACTCCCATATATCAGATTGCTATTTATTACCTAAGAGCATTAGACAATCGCGTTATCAACTACAACTGTATTCATTTCAACTACAACTGTATTCATTTTAAGCAAAATCATAAGCTTGACTGAGTGTACAACTACTCAGGTGAAATTCTCATTGACAACCACAACATCAAGGACCTTGATTTGAAGTCCCTAAGGAGAAACATAGGACTAGTTTCACAGGAGCCGTCCCTATTTGCCGGCAACATCAAAGACAACATCAAGACAGGTAAAATGGATGCAGATGATGATGAGATCCAGAAAGCAGCTCAAATGGCAAATGCACACTCTTTTATATCCCAATTTCCAGATCATTACTCAACAGAGGTAGTTAAGTTGCAAGTCAAAATTTATAAATGTGCAAATTATGAAAACCTCCACCAAAACATAGATTATCAAGTGTGAACAAATGTCAGACTGGAAAAAAGATACGTTGACTTGTTTTAAAAAGAAAAATGAAAAATGAAAGACTATAATGTTAAGGGAATATAATCCCACATCGGTAAAATACCGAAATAATGACCAATATATAAAGGATTGGGACACTCCTCTTAATAAGGTTGACCTTATTAAGATGGACCCCAAGTCTTAACATGGTATCAGAGCCCAGTAAGCTTCAACGAGCTATTCGATCCGATTAAGTCTCTAAAAATGAGCACACGGATTTCAAGATTGGTCTGCTCAAACGAGCCACCATCTTGCGGGGGCATGTTAAGGGAATATAATCCCACATCGGTAAAATACCGAAATAATGACCAATATATAAAGGATTGGGACACTCCTCTTAATAAGGTTGACCTTATTAAGATGGACACCAAGTCTTAACATATAACAAGTTGAGTGTTAAATGAGTATAAAAGCTAAACTAGACCAAAAAAATCACATTATATTGCAATCTGAAGAGCATTGAGGTGCATCTAGTTTATATAACTGCCTGAAGTCACAGGCCAAAGAAAGGCAAAACAGAAACATCACAGTGAACATGAGCAGGTGAGAGGATTTGATTAGCCATCAGTAACATTATGCACTAATAACAAAGATGAAAATGCAGAGCTGATTTATAGACAGTGAAAAAAAGTAAATGAAGGTCAGACTCTATCAGATTCCATTGACAGTCTGCAAAACAATTCAATGGTTGCTCTTTCATTTCTGGTTATTCTGTATATATAGAAATCAGGTTAAAGGATCATAAACATTGCAACATACTTCACACTTGCTGTGTGTATGCTGTTCCCTTCTGTTGATATCAGTGGCCATAGTCTGCATCTGCAGTATAGACAGATATAAACATGTACAGCATATACCTTATATTGCCAAACTTATTATATGCTGACTGAGCATTGTTTTCACACTAGGTAGGAGAAAGGGGCGTTCAATTATCAGGTGGACAGAAACAGAGAATTGCAATAGCAAGAGCCATCTTAAAGAATCCTCCAATTCTTTTGCTCGACGAGGCCACCAGTGCACTTGATACAGAATCAGAAAAACTAGTTCAAGCTGCCCTTGAGACAGCTATGCAAGGGAGGACAGTCATCTTGATTGCCCACAGATTATCAACCATTATCAATGCAGATATAATTGCAGTTGTAGAGAACGGAAAAGTTGCAGAGACAGGAAGGCATCAAGACCTACTAAACACCAATGAATTTTATCACAGTTTGTTTACCATGCAAAACATCGATACAAGGTTATAAAATTGTTAATGACCTGAGCTCATGATAAACTAAAACATGTTATTCTAAATGTTTCTGTGTAACACATTACAGAGTAGAGGATTCAACTGAAGGAACAGCGAGTACTCGGAAACAAATTTCATCTCAACATTTTGACCAGCCTGATACACTAACAGAAAGCTACACAAGTTTCACACTATCTCCCAAGAAAGAGGAATCACAGGAAGAAACGGACAAGTTCATATTCTTTAGAATCTGGTCTGGCTTAAAGAAAAAGGAGATCGTAAAGATTTCCATTGGCTCCTTTGCAGCTGCTTTTGCTGGCATCTCTAAGCCTGTTTTTGGCTACTTCATCATCACAATAGGAGTAGCATATTTCAAAGATCATCCAAAGCATCGAGTTGGAAAGTATTCCATAATGTTTTCTACAATAGGATTTCTCTCATTGTTTGCCCACACTCTGCAGCATTACTTCTTCGGTGTGACTGGGGAGAAGGCCATGAAAAACCTGAGACAAAATTTATATACAGGTATCCTATCCGTACAAGTTACTATCTATCTACTTTATCAATCTAAGAAGTTCTGAAGCAATGCATTCACATGACTTCTAATGGAATTTTTGCAGCTATATTACGCAATGAATTTGCATGGTTTGAGAAGCCAGAGAACAGCGTAGGATCAATTACATCAAGAGTTATCAATGAAACATCAACAGTCAAGACCATCATTGCGGACCGTATGTCTGTTATTGTCCAATGCATCTCCTCCATAGTGATTGCTACAGCAGTCAGTATGAAAGTTAACTGGAGAATGGGTCTGGTAGCTTGGGCAGTGATGCCATGTCACTTCATTGGAGGGATAATTCAAGCCAAATCAGCCAAAGGATTTTCAAGTGGTAGTACTGCAGCTCACTCGGAACTTGTTGCCCTTGCTTCTGAATCAGCAACCAATATAAAAACTGTGGCTTCTTTTTGCCAGGAAGAGCATGTCATTCAAAAGGCCAAAGCTACTCTCAAGAAACCAGTGAGGAAAAGCAGGGTAGAAAGCATTAAGTATGGAATCATTCAAGGTGTATCCCTTTGCTTATGGAATATTGCTCATGCTGTTGCATTGTGGTATACAACAGTTCTGGTTCGCAAACATCAAGCGAGCTTCGAGAATAGCATAAGATCATATCAGATATTCTCTCTCACAGTACCATCAATCACAGAACTATGGACGTTGATACCCACTGTTTTCTCTGCCATCAGTGTTTTAACACCTGTGTTCCAAACCATTGACCGACAGACTGAAATTGAACCGGACTCGCCAAAGGATTCACCGTGCGAAAGCCTTAAAGGGGAAATTGAATTTCGAAATGTCAAGTTCTGCTACCCCTCGAGACCAGAAATAACCATACTTGACAGCTTCAGTTTAAAAATTGAAGCTGGATCGAAGGTTGCTCTTGTTGGGCCAAGTGGAGCTGGAAAGTCCTCTGTTTTAGCACTCATTCTCAGATTCTACGATGCCAACGAAGGACGAGTCCTGATTGATGGGAAGAACATAAAGCAATACAACCTCAGAAATATAAGGGCACGGATAGGGTTGGTGCAGCAGGAACCACTTCTCTTTAGTTGCTCAATAAGAGACAATATTTGCTATGGGTGTGAAGGAGCTTCTGAAGCTGAAATCATACAGGTGTCAAGGGATGCAAACATACATGAAGTAGTAAGCAATTTACCCAGTGGATATGGCACTACTGTAGGGGAAAAGGGATGTCAACTTTCCGGTGGACAAAAGCAACGAATAGCCATTGCAAGGGCCCTACTGAAAAGGCCTTCAATAATGCTCCTCGATGAAGCAACGAGCGCTCTTGATGCAGAGTCTGAAAGATCCGTGATTGATGCTCTGGAATCACTAAAAGTGAGCACAACATATGTCACAGTTGCACACAGACTTTCCACAGTAATCAACTCAGATGCCATAGTTGTTATGGATAAGGGTAAGGTTGTGGAAATGGGCAGCCATTCAACCCTAATAGCGGCAACCGAGGGAGTTTATTCGAAACTCACCAGGCTTCAGAGTGTCGAGAGAAATTGACATATCTACATCTACGAAAATTAAATGATAGTCACTGAAAGTCTTATAGTATTTCTTAAGCTTGAAGCCATCCTGTCAGATTGGTTTAATAATTTACTGTATTGGCTTCACGGTTACTATATCCAAAAACTGGATTATATTCAACACCAGCACTTTGGTTCGTACTTCCGAAAAATATCGAGATGAATGATGCGTAAGGTATTTAGCTTCTCCATCTTCCCCACACTGCAAGCCGATACTGCAACTTCTTCAGTGTATTATGCCCTTGATCATTAGTTATTTCCAGATTTTTCCAATACCATACCTTAGCTAGAGTTTTGAGTCAGTGACCTAAAAAAATAATAATAATAATAAATAAAAATAGAAAAAATCTGAAATTTACAATATCAAATTCTTTTGATCATATGTTCTTCAATTTTATACTAACGTGTCAATTTAGGTTGAAGAATGGCATCAAATATATCTTGATTGGACCTTTTTTTAAAATAGTATTGTGCAAAAGTTATAGAAATTTAACCACGCAGCATGAATTTTCTTATCCTACCATCAAAATGAAGACAAAAATCGTTCATTCTGATGCAAAGATTTTGTCAAAATTTCTGTGAGGCATAAAAATTGGTATGATATTCACATTAATTCTTATGAATATACTTTCCAACAACTAAAACATAGTTGTATACATAATAACACGAACTAAATTCTCCCTTTTAACATAAAGTTGTTTAACTCTTCTACACATCTAAATAAATGGAATACGTAAACGAGTTATTCCACAAGTTCTACCCAATAATCACATATGTTTCGCGCGGGTAGTCGCTAACAATTAAAAAAGGGGTCAGACGATTGTGTAAAGAACAGACCTCTTGAGACAAAGTCCCAAAAAGGGGTGTTTTTTTTACGATGATTTACAATTGGAAATAAACAGAATGCCTCCAAGAGGCGCAAGCACACGAGTATTAAAAGAAGTGTTTAAATTTAAGCTAAGAAATTAAAATTACATATTCTCTGTTTGAGAGTGTTTGATTCGGGGTCCTCTATTCTATGTCTTCTCTTCCTTTTTATATTCCCTTGATGACTTCCTTGTGATAAACCGCTTGGAAACTGTTTGATTGTTTTATAACTACCCACTTTCTTTATGGTGGCTAACTTGTCGTGGAACTGCCGTCTCTAACTGCTGCCATTACTCTTTGTCGTTCAACCGCCTTCAACTGGGCTCCTTGAATCGTGGAATGTAATAAGATTACTCAATAATTGCTTTAATAACTGTTATTCTGGACAATCATAATATTTTATGTTTGCTAAGATTTTGGGCGATTCGAAGGTTTGGGCGAGAACGGGGTCATTGTTCTGGGCGACCGTAAGGCACTCCATTCGCTCAGATTCTGGGCATCTTGCAAGCTTGGGCGATGACGTCACTGTGTTCGTAGGCTTCTACTGTATTTATCAATAATCATGTTTGGACATTTATCCTGAACTCCCCAATTGGGCTTCACTCTTTGGGTTGCACTTTTAGTGTGTCAACAATTACCCCCAATATGACAGAATTAATACCAATTATTAATTTTTGCCATATTCACTTTGTATTCTCCAGCAACATTTGAAATTCCCAAGAATTTCAATCATTATTTCCTTCTATAGCCTGAAAAGGTGCAACGTTACAAACCCTTATAAACCCAAAAGACACATCATTTCATCGCACTACTAAACCTCGTCTCTATATTTCGCTCTTCTTCCTTACTATTTTACTGTTCATCTTCTTACTTCTCTACTACGTTTCTCAGGTAAATCTTAACAAATCTATACTTTGCACCCAATGGCGACTTCACAAACTCAATCTGATGATTCTTTTAGTTTCGAAGATTTCCAGAAAATCCTTACTAGGCCGTATGTAAATCCAAACTTCCTTGCACTAGCCAACACTGACCTCAATGAATTCTATCTGGGTCCATCATTCAATAATGCCGAAGCCGTTGGACAAGTGGTGGTGGGCCAGCTGTTCCCTTGCACTCAAGACCCTCTGTTCCTGAACTCTCTGCCATTGAGGACGATTCGCGAAAAAGGTATTCGCACTTGGCCTATAGCTGATGTTATTTTTCGTAGATGGCATGCACGTCTTATGAATCATGGCCCTACTAAGGCGATTTTTAATCGTGTTAGGATTTCGGACTTATTAAAAATCGCTCTTCAACCCCCAATTTTCGACCCAGTGCTTTTTCCAATTGTTTTGAGTTTTTGGTCTTCTGAATATAATACTTTCATTTTCCCTCTTGGTCCCATGTCTATTACTTTAAGGGATGTTGGAGCCCTAGTAAATCTTCCACCTTTGGGCGATACCATCTTTCCTGGTATCTTGATTTCCAGTGTTGGCCCGAAATTTGACAAGAAACTTACTGAATCCTATTCAAGCATGCAAGGCTTTTATAATCATTCAAGCACTGAACCTTCCCACACTGAGCGTGTGGCCTTTCTTCAAATTGGCTCTGTAAATATATTCTCTGCGTGCCAAGTATGAAACCTTCTATGAGCTACTTAACCATAGCGCATGAATTGGCGTGTGGTAGGCCTTTAAACTTATGTTCATTCTTTTTAGCTGCCCTTTATAGAGGCATGGCTTCCTCTCAATCTCAACTGAAGTATGGTGCATCTCCTACTGGTAGTGGCCCCCTTTGGTTCACTCAACTGTGGTTGAGAGCATACTTTCCACCACTTGGTGCTCCATCCATTTCCCTTCGTTCTGCTAGCTGCTATGGGCTAGCTATTGACCCATTGAAACCTGTAAATATGTCCAGTAGGGACATTTTTTCATTCTTTTATACCTTAAATTTGATTCCTTCCTTCTTTCCTTTTCCTGCTCACTTGACTCCAGCTTATGTGCAACCTCCATCCACCATGGACAGTGCGAGCGCCTCTCTGCTTGTTTGGGTTCAATTTTATTGAGAGGGAATTGTTCCACGATATTTTAACTGGAACCAATGCCAAGGCTATGGTTGAAATATATGCTCCCAAATTTTTTGCTCGTCAATTTGGTTTTAGCCAAACTTGGCCGGTTCCTCCTTGCTACTCCAAAAATTTGACAGATCGTTTTCACACTATTAATAAGGCAGAAGCATAAGCTGTAGATGCTCGTAACATTCTTTTGACGAGCAAATTTTCATTAGCCCTTTCAATTCTAGTTATGTCGTCCATCCTCTTTTTGAACAGCTCTAGCCATCAGTAACATGCAGATTGTTTGCAACTGATGTTAATCGTGTCTTCCATTTACTGGATCAGCCAGACACTTCCTCTACTTCTCCTATTTTGGTCACCCCTGTGTCCATTAGGAATCCTCCCTTCCCTGCTCGCGCTAAACGTCCTTTCCGTCCATCTGCTTCTCCACCTGCCAAGGCTACTGCAGCTAAAGGTGACTTAAGCCGCAAATGGCCAGTTTCGGCATCTCCCATTTTGCAGGATGATGATGATGACGCTCTTCTCATCCTTAGGAGAAAGGTAATTGAATTTCTTTATTCACAAACATACTTTTCTATGTACTAATGGTTTACCTAAATTTCTCAGAAAAGTTCAGCCTCTCTTTCGAAGGCTTTGGTTTTGGCAACTCCTGCTTCACCATCTTCTGCTAAAGTTGCTTCGTCCAAATTAGTTGATGAAGGGACTATGCTTAAAGAGAAACCCTTAGTCCCGGAATCTTCATCACAACTAGTAGAAGGGCCACCTTTTTCCCAGGGCGCCGACTCCCGAAATGTCGAACCAGAAGGTAATACATATTTTGATATTTTACCTTTGCTTGTGCTACTGGTTTCTGATTCGTTACTTCTTGAATTATGCAAAGGTTCCCATGGGCCTGCTCGTTGTGACAGAGTCTTCTCGCCCAGATAAGGGGAAGTCTCCACAAGTGGTGGAACCAACTGGTGATATGCCTGAACTTCCCAAGATTGTTGATGAGATAACCTTTTGCTTCACTTTCATATTCACTTCGTTTATTGTAGTGAAAGCCCTCAACGTTGGCATTTTTCTTTGCAGGGAGCTGATGACATTGTGCGTTCCATCCAGGACTTGTTCACTTCCTGGGGACAAGTCAAGACGTCTCGCCCTACTTCAACCAGTTATCCTTCTGCTTCATCTTCTACTTTTTCAGAGGAAAATCTAAAGTTTCTCAAGCAGTCGGTACTTGAGTATGTGTCGTTTATGGACATGGATATCAGCCATGCTAGTGCTATTAAACATAAGGAAAAGTTTGAGGTATTGAGTGCGAAATTGGCGCAAGCACTTACACTTTCGTCGCTTAATGTTTCTGCTGACTTTAAAGTGACATTGAAGGTTGTCCACTCTAACATCCTCTCCTTGCTAGCTAAGAATGTTGAACTGAAGGCCAGGAGTACTCAATATCTTCGTGCTGCATCTGAAAGAGAGTCTTTACTTCTAGAGACTAACAAAGTCGAGGATGAATTGAAAGAAATCTCTTCCAACGTTATGATCGAAGACTCTTTGATGGTAGGCTTGGCTGCAAAGATGAAGGAGCTTCAAGCAAAGATGGACGACTGTAAGGCGAGAATGGCTTCTAAAAAGCGTAATGTTTCCCAAGGAATTGAACGAACCAAGTCTTTGGTTGAGCAGTATAAAAAGCTGGAGGTTGATGATGATTTTATAACTGAATTAAATGTCGCTTCTTCTCAACAGAGCGAGATTGGGGAAGACTTAGGGAAAGAATACGTTCGGCCTGGGGTGAATTGTAATTAAGACATCCAATGCCTTAACTTTTCTTTTGTAATTTTGCACTAATTGCCATTGCTAATTTTGAATATAACAGCAGCTATCGTCATTAATGAACGACTATTTTGTCTACTTGCATATTAATTGACGTTATCCTTAATCGTCAACCCCCCAAGCATTTAATTGCTTTATGCTAAGATTCATGTACATTCTTTCTTGGTATTCCCGTCTCCTTTCCCAAGACTTTGGGCCATTTGATTTCAATTATTAGGCACGAATATGGCCGTTCATATTTTGTCTTTTCACCTTCACACCTCTATAAATGCGGGTGTATTTCGCACTTATCATTTTCATTTCCATTCTTTTCTTCAAAAACTAATTTGCTGCCATCGTTTGGCATCTCAACAATTGATCCAAAATTTTCGTCTTCCATAGAAATGGATCATTTGATCCACCCATTTCGCTATTTGTCTTGATGTCACCTTTGGTATGGGAAATATAGGAAATATTCTTTGGCCAGCGAAGGTCTTCCCTTCGTCTCCATGTTCTCTACAAGGAGTTCAATGATGGAAGGCGATT